TGTGTGGCCCCAACTGACTTTTCTGTGGGTCAGTGACCCCTGACTCAAAGCAGGTTCCCTGCCCTTCTTGTAAATAAAGACAATGCAGAAACTTTGTGTTTGACATATTTTATTTAAAAATGAAGCCTGGCCAGCAAACCCCCAATTGGGGCCAAGCCCCCATCTAGCCACAGAATAATAACACTCCTGTACCACCCGCAACCCCAAATCTGAGCTTATCATACACTGGAACCCCCTGTCCTGAGCCTCTCACATCCCCAATCTCCTGCACCCTCACATCCTCAGTCTTCTGCCACAGCATTTCTGCACCATCCACACACCACAAATCTGTGTCCTGAGCCCATCATACTCCCAACCTCCCTGCCCTGAGCCCCTCACGTACCCCAACCCAAAGTCCTGCACCCTCACATCCACAAGCCTGTGGCTTGCTCAGTCCCCCAACCCCCCACCTGCCCCAACACTGCCCGGCCTGGAATCCCCTCCCCGAGCCAGTGTCCCCTTCTTCACCTCCTCCTGCATCCAGATTTCCTCCCAGAGCTTGCACCTCACTCCTTCCCACACCCAAATTCCTCATTCCCACCCCAGAGATTACACATCCTGTCTCAACCCAGCGAGGGTCCAGCTAGACTGCAGGAGTTTTTCAGGATTCTGGAGCTATCCCAGAAAAACTCTTCTGCATCCAGGGTTGTGTTTGTTCTTCCGCTTTTTTAGTGGAAGAGCAAACATGCTCTTTCGGTCACTCCTATATTCCTCTTTCCACAAGGAATAAGGGAGGTTCCGAAAGAAGGGTTTTTTTTCCTGACATTTGGTCCAGTCTAGACAGGCCAAATGTTGGAAAAACCTCTTCCTACAGAAGAATAAAAAAAAATAAAATAAAATAAAATAAGCAGCAGTATAAGGATTGGGGATATCAAGTGATGAAGAGCAGGAGAATAGAGAGGGCGGGGCTTCAAGGAAGGGGCGGGGCGGTAGATCTTGGCTTGGTCTGTCATTTAAAAAGTGATCTTGGGTGTAAAAAGGTTGGAGACCACTGGCTTAGAGAGTACACTTATAAAGTTTGCAGATGATACCAAGTGTGGGGGCGTTGCAGGTGCTTTAGAGGATAAGGTCAACATTCAAAATGATCTGGACAAACTGAAGAAATGATCTGAGGTAAATAGGATGAAATTTAATGAGGACAAATGCAAAGTGTTCCACTTAGGAAGGAACAATCAGTTTTACGCATACAGAATGGGAACCGACTGTCTAGAAAGGAGTACTGCAGAAAAGATTCTAGGGGTCATAGTGGACCACAAGCTAAACATGAGTCAACAGTGTGATGCTGTTGCAAAAAAAGCAAACATGATTCTGGGATGCATTAACAGGAGTGTTGTGAGCAAGAGAAGTCATTCTTCCAGTCTACTCTGCACTGATTAGGCCTCAATTAGAATATTGTGTCCAGTTCTGGGCGCCATATTTCAAGAAAGATGTGAAGAAATTGGAGAAGGTTAAGAGAAGAGCAACAACAATTAAAGGTCTAGAAAACATGATCTATGAGGGAAGACTGAAAGAATTGGGCTTGGTTGGTTTAGAAAAGAGAAGACTGAGCAAGGACATAAGAGCAGTTTTCAAGTTGTTCTTCTTAGCCTCTGAGGATAGGACAAGAAGCAATGGGTTTAAACTGCAGCAAGGGAGGTTTAGGTTGGACATTAGGAAAAACTTCCTGTCAGGGTGGTTAAACACTGGAATAAATAGCTTAGGGGGGTTGTAGAATATCCATTACTGGAGAGATTTAAGAGCAGGTTAGATAGACAGCTGTGAGGGATGAGATGGTGCTTGGTCCTGCCATGAGGGCAGGGGACGGGACTCGATGACCTCTCAATTCTTCTTTGATTCTATGAATACATAGCATGTTCTTTATGTGTATCTGATGTCACTGTCCTTCCCTTTTCCTCTCTTAGGCCCATACTATGTACCAGGTCGGGCTGATGGAAACGGACCAACATATTGAATTTTTCTGGAGTGCATTGGAAATGTTTACTCAGGAAGAACTCTGCAAATTCATAAAGTTTGCCTGCAACCAGGAACGAATCCCCTTTACATGCCCATGCAAAGATGGAGGGCCAGACACTGCACATGTCCCACCTTATCCCATGAAAATTGCACCCCCAGATGGAGCTGCAGGTATGTTGTTTACTGTACATTTGTATTAATAAAATCAGCCTCTGACTTTGACCCTTTTTAGATTTGAATTCCTTATTGCATTTTATAATATTCTTTGTCTGACAGATGCAGGGGCTTGTCTACACTGTTGAGTAATGTGCACTAATGTGATTTCTAAAGTGCACTAAACAGTGCTGATTGCTGTTTAATTTTAGTGCTTTTGAGGCACACTCCATTGAAGTGTGCTAAATACGTTAGTGTATTTAGAAATCACACACCCCATAATGCACATTATTACCTCACTGTAAACAGGGCTGCAGAAGAAAATGCAGTGCAGCTAAGAAATTTTGTAACTGACGAGAATGTAGCTAATTTTAAGTCAGGCCACAATAAGATTGTTCAATCAAAAATAAATCTTCTGAAGACTTGCAATAACTGCCGTTTGGCCACACAAGGGAGAAGCAGGGAATGTGGTGGAATTTTGTGATGTGGCTCCTGTGGAGCAGAGTATTATCCATCCTATTTCAGTGACAATACTGTAGGCCAAGTGTTGACCCCACTAAACTTAAAAGTAGAGATATAAAATCCCATTTAATTGGCTAACCAGTTAAACATATTGTTTAACTGGATAACTGATTAAAGGAGGGAATGGGCAGAGGGCTGTCTGGAGTGACCTGCAACAAGACACCTTGGCCTGCCAGACAGGGGCTGCTCCAGCTCCCACGAGTGGCTTACTGGATAACCATTCACATTCCTATCTAATATTGTCATTTCTATTGTGCTTTTTGGTGGGTCTTCCGACCCTGGAACTTGCAGGATTCCATTACTTGGATATGTGTCAGTATCAATGGAGTAAAAAGTACGTCCTGGGAATAGAAAGTTAATGAGAACCTCAGAGTAGAGAGCCTGTTTACAAGTCTTCATATGGTTCCTTTACAGGTTCCCCAGATTCTCGGTACATCCGTGTTGAAACCTGTATGTTCATGATAAAGCTTCCTCAATATTCCTCTCTGGATATAATGCTGGAAAAGCTACGGTATGCAGTTCACTACAGAGAGGATCCACTTAGCGGCTGAGTTGAGCAAGACCAAGACCAGGGATGCTTTCGGGAGGTTCGTTTTATGACTCTGCTCTGTTGGAAAGCCTGGGATTCTCATGAAGATATCTCCTGTGACACTACATGAAGAATTGGAGACTAATTTATTTTTTAAACTTCTGTTCCCATTACAGTAATTACTGGAAGACTTACATTTTATATTTGTAGATTTTTGTGGTGGACTGGTTATTTTGCTGCCTTGTTTGTGGAATATTTGTAGGATAGTTTAGTACAGACTGGTTTGATGTGTATAATTTAATTTTAAAAGACCTTTGAACATGGGCATTTCTAATTTTGTAATTTAGAATTGTGTTGTCCTTGTAAACACAACAGACTTGAGTATTCTGAGGTTGAGAGCTCAGGTCTAAATAATTAGAGTTCATTCTCTCTCTAAAACATTTGAGTACAAAAATAGAATGATTTTTTTTAAAATCACTTTCATTGTTCATAAAACCAGAATAATGTATCTCTCATGAAAGCTGAGAGTTTTTCTGTACTCAATACACTGAACTCCAGCACACACAAACATGCTTGGATTTTATAACAGAAAACATGCTTCCAAATTACATATCCTGAAATGTTCTTGATTTAATTATTTAAATACAAAACACACACATTGGTAACTGCCATAATACATTTTAGTGTTTCATTTTCAAATTTCAAAGTTGAATAGATGAAAGACCCAGAACACAGAGTGACCATGATACTGTTAGGTCCTACCCAAGACATTCCTGGCTTGATAGTGAACCTACTAACAAAAATGTCTTCACTGATCTTTGTTTCTTCCAGTATTTAAAAAACAGTGAGTTCTCTCTATGTCCATGTTCGGAATATTAACTAGTGATTAAAGCATCTGTCGTTTGTGTTTTGTACTAAAAAAATATTTATGTACATTTAAGCAAATTATCCTAAAGATGTGACACATTGGGTCTGGGGGAAGGTGCCAAGTTGCAGAATTGAAGATGTAGCTTTTATATGGAAAGACAATGGTGGAATATAGGAAGTGATAATTCTGTGTGTTAAACTGTTGTATGTTATGGAATGTGTTCTGCAGTGAGAAAACACAGCACATCTATCTTCCTTCACTAATGCAAAAAAGTGTTGTCCTATATTAGGTGTGTTTAAAGTGAGGCATCAGAATTGAACGCCTATAAAAACCTATTTGTGCTCAAGCACTGACGTGAACATTGAAATTACTGCTGTACATCTTGGCTCAGTACTCTGTAAGTTAAGTGCCCGTATTGAGCTACAGGTCAGTCATTTTCCTGCTGGTACACATCTAACCACATAAAGGTCTATGACTGTGTGTGTGTGACTGTACTTTAAGGTTGGTATTATGTGTCTCTGTAGAAGACAGATATACCCTAATTGTTTGGCTTGTCAGTTGTAATGGGAATTGAAAAACTGTATTTTTTTGTATATTATTGTGAATATTGGGAATTATTATGTGTGAGATGTTTGGAGAGCAGGGTGTGTGAGAACAGAGAAAGCCACTAAGTGTGTGTATGCTTCTTATTCTGTGAGTGAATGGAAAAGGAATGTGTGTGCGTGACAGCTGTAGTAGTAGTAGTTGTTGTTGTTGTTGGCATACAATGGCTCCAAATCCTGTTGTTAGGAAAATTGTTACCATTCTGTAGAATTTCCTTTCTCCCCCCCCTCTCCTCTGAGAGACATGTAGGAATATTATATACTCTTGAATCTTGTCCACTTCCTGGTAGAAGCATAGATGTAGCTGAAATATCATTCCAAGTAAGGCAAACATATATAAAGTTTACAAAGACCAGAGGAAAACTAAGCACGATATGTTGCTTGAAATGCTTTACTACCCCCTAAAAGGTGCATTCTCACTGAGCATGGGGAACATGAAAAATGTCATCAGAATTTCATAGCAGAACTGTTGCTAAAAAAGGCTTTGGTTTTCTTTCTGGTGGTTTGAATAGCATTTTTGAACTGTTCAGGTATCTCCTTTCAAACCCCTGAGTGGACTCAAAATTCAGTCAAATACCTCACGGATAGGGGTTTGAGGACTTGGTATGCCAATCCTTTCCAATGATATGATTACAGCTGTGAGTAAGATAACTGCTGCTAATGTTTCTGCTTCTCCTTCCAGAAAGCACATGAGTAAAGCATATCCACATCTTGGCCCTGAAATGTGTGCTGTAAAGTTACTTGATATATTATTTATTATAGTTATTTATGGTTGCATTTAACAGACTTTCAGTCAATGCTGTTTACACCCTGCTGTGTAAATGAAGCTTCTTACTACAGGAAAAATGTGTCAACAATAAATAATGTTCATCTACTTTTGACTGATTGGAAGAGTGGTGTGATCCCTTGGACCTACAAAACCTATCCTTCAAGTTGCATCATCTCAGAAAATTAAAATGACTAAAAATTGTTTAATCCCTGCTTTTCTCAGCTAATATTGCTGTATACCAGTGCATTTTTTTTTCAAAACAGGCAAAGGCTGGTGATCCTACAGAGATTACTCAATTGGCAGATTAGCAGTTTTAGTTAATGTATTCCCTGTTTTCATCTATATTTTTCCCCATAAATAAGGTAGCCTATTAGACCTCCTCACTAAGGGCACATCTACATTACACAGAGGATCGATGCTGCCATAGTTGGTATTCCAAGATTCAATTTAATGGGCGTGGGATAGATCTGCTAAATAGAACTCAAAGGGCCATCCCTATTGGCACCAGTACTCCTGCTTCTCATAGGTAAAGGAAGCCAACAGGAGCATTTGCTCCTGTCAACCTTCCACTGTGTGGCTAGCACAGAAACATGGTGTGAGATATGTTGACTCCAGCTCCATAAATTATGGAGCTGGAGTTGTGTATCTTCCCAAGTAGTGTAGACCTGGCCCTAGGGAATGAGAACCAGCCATAGCATTGTGCCCCCAGGAACTACCATTGCCAGGTTGACCCTTGCAATACTTTTATTGGGGTTCTTGTATTTAATAACTCTTCCCTTTTGGTGGAGGCTGCCTTACACTGGCTTTAAACAGAGCTTAGTTCTGCTTTAGTCATG